ACTCATCAACGGTCTTCCTTGTTTACTGCATGTTTTATGGTAAACGAAACCGTTGGTAAGGAAGAGAGTATGATGTTAATCCAGACATTACTAATGACATTTGTGTCTTTATGTTATGATTTTTCGATGTAGTCTTTTAATTAACTGATTAATATAATTTAGTCCTTCCTTAGAAAATGTGTCGGAATACTAGTCAAATATGCATCGAAATAGACAAAAATGCATGCGGACAGCGATAGCTGTGATTTAATGCTAGGCTTTAACCGGCGTCTCCGCGTAGCATAATGCGGGAGGCAAATGCACTTCACTGAGCATTTCGACAATGTAACACCTATGGAACCTGGGTTAATTTTTCTATGACTGGTAGGCGAACCCCATTTTATTTTTAAGAGGGGGTCAGTTTTGACCTTTTTTGTTGATAAAGAAGGAAAAATCGCATATGGATGTAGAAGTAGAAATAACGCTTTTTTTTCTGGTGGTATGGCCTGACATGCAAGATAGTTTCATTAATGTAATAATTTTATTATTGTACTGCATATATAACAGAAACTGTGTGTGCACTAGTCTAAGGTAGTAGGTATTCGAATTAGGATGAAACGTCTCCGTATTATCTCCGTTAAAACATTATAATAATGTCCGGAGGAAACAAATACTTTTTGAATGTGCGTAAGCGAAGATTTGGCATATCAACACGCAAAACCGCTCATGCTGTTTCTTCCTCGTCGGGCTGTAAAGGCAAAGGATTTCAACAGTTTATTTTGTGCAAATTTCCATTTCAACTATCGGAGGGTTCCTATAACCGCCTTGAAAGTTCACGATTAAAACTCTGGGTTTTTTCCGGCGGGCCATTTTCCTCTGTTGAACAATTATGGCATTCAAATAGCTTCAGCTATTAAACGTACATCTGCTGTCGGTCACTTATTATTACAAAACATGTGGAAAAATTCGCACAAAGCCGCGAGCGAAGTCATTGGCTCAGGGAATTTCCTCTTGGCGTCTGATTCATGTTTTATGCGGCTTTATAGTGACTAGTTCCAAAGGAAGTGCACTTGTTATTGCTTGTCGTGATAAGCTCAATTCGAAGTACACTTTGAAAAGGCTTGCTGCTTCCGGCCTCTGGAACAACCAATCACCGGCCAACTTACACAGACCTCAATAAAGTGTCTGCTCCTAGGTATCACTCCGAATTTCGCCCCACCAGGGAGCGGCCACAGGCAGTGTTGTCGGTGATGTTGACCATCACACGTTCAAACGGTCGGGTGGCTGCCAATCCGAGTCACAATTCGTACA